CTTCTTCAAAGTTCCTTCAAGTTTTGCAACTTGATCCTTAAGTGATATACAAGAACTACATTTTGAACTTTCCGGTTTGTCGGCGCTTCTTTTTCCGAAAAACTTATTTTCTTCTTTAAGTTTTTCATTATCTTTTGATAGTTTATCAACTTCCTTCTCCATGGAAGTAAGTTGTTTCTTCAAATCCTTGTTAATTTTAGAAGCGTTGACATATTCATCAAAAAGTTCATTAAAGGCTTCTTGTACATCATCAAAAGTGTAGGAATCTTTAGAAGTGGTACATACCTCTTCCGGTGGTTCCTCGTGTGCCATGAGGCAAAGGTTGGCACTTTCGTTTTCTTCGCCTTCTGATGATTCGTCGCCGGAATCACCTCCCGATGAGATGTAGGCTCGGTGCTTCTTGAACATTTTATTCTTGTTCGTGGCGGTTGGACATTTTGGTTTTATATGCCCAACTTCTCCACACCCATAGCATTTGGGTGGACTTCCTTGCTTCTTTCCTTTCTGTTCATACTCTTGGCTCATGAACTTATGGAATTTCTTGAGCACGATCCCGAACTCGTCTTTGTCACTCGAGTCCTCCACATCCCGTTCTTGACTTGTGGACGCCTTGAGTGCAATCCCATTCTTCTTTTGTTCACCTAAAGAGGGGTCAAGAATGGTAGACTCATAGGTTTTGAGGTTACCTCTAAGTCCGTCAATGGTGACACTGGTGATGCCGATGGATTCTTGGATAGCATCGGCTTTGGAGCGCCATTCCGGTGTGAGACTCCGCAGGATTTTTCTTACAAGCTCCTTGTCCGTATATGTCTTCTTGAGAGCATGAAGATCGTTTACGATTTTTGAAAATCGTTCAAACATATCGTCGATTTTCTCGTTCTCCTTCATATGAAACAGTTCATACTCATGGGTTAGAAAATCTATCTTAGCTTCTCGGACTTGATCCGTACCTTCATGTGTGATTTCTAGCTTGTCCCACATTTCCTTGGCGGTGTAACAACAAGAGATCTTCCGGTAGTCATCCGGGTTTACTTTACAATAAAGAATGTTGATAGCCTTGGCGTTGTTTTCTATTTTCTTGATATCCTGCGCATCGTATTCATCTTCGGTTTTGGGAATGGTGGTTTCCCCAACTTTCTTCATGGTTACTACTTCCCCATTCTTGATAATTCTCCATAGGAGAAAGTTGTTGGATTGGATGAAAATTCTCATTCGCTCCTTCCAATATGTGTAATTTGTTCCATCAAATAATGGAGGCCTCGTGGTGGATTACCCTTCTCCTAAACCTGCGTATAAGTTTTGAGTAGAAGCCATTGATCGTTTCTCTCAAACGGTTAAGTCTTTCAGAGAGTAAGGCTCCGATACCAATTGTTAGAATAAAGGCCCAACGCTAGAGGGGGGGTGAATAGCGTTTAAAATAAAATCGCAGGAAATTAAAAAGGAGAGCGTCAAGTAAAGAGCGTAAGGAAGGAGCACACCAAATTTTATCCTGGTTCACCACAACGTGTGGCTAATCCAGCCCCCCGAGAGACTCTCTCGAGCTACACTAACTCTGTTAAGCTTAAGGGTGCTTAACAAACCGATACAACTAGAGAACCCGAGTCACACGAGCCTCAACACCTTTGCTCGGAGATACCGCACTCCAAGACTTCTCACGAAGGAACAAGGAACTTCCTTCGAGTTTAAAACAAGGGAACAACCTCCCTTAAAGTGTATGAAAACATTTAAAAACTCAGGAATAAAACTCTCACAAAGAGTAGATATGAGTGAACTAGTAAACGCTCAAGAACACGACAATTTCTTCAAGAATTGGCTCTCAAATAGCTAAGAAAAATAGGAATGCGTATGTAATGAAGGAGTATTGAAATGTTGAAGAATTGTATTTAAAATGAGAGGATTTGGGTGCCATTTTATAGCCCAAAATGGGATAAATCTGTTGCTAGAGATTCCAACAGGATGAAGACAAATTTTTCAGGGACACAGGCTGATAGTCGATTATCCAAGCTTGATAATCGATAATCAAAAGATTCCTTGTCCAAAAATTTAAAATTCTATCCGTTGGAGGACAACGGTAACCTCGATAATCGATTGTCACCAAGTGATAATCGATTATTGGTCCTCTCAGAAGATTCTGGGTTTTGGCTGCAAAGACTGATAATCGATTATTGCATAAGTGATAATCGATTATTGCGTGCTTCAGAACTTTGGAAGTTCAAACCTGCAGGGGCTGATAGTCGATTGTCACAAAGGTGATAATCGATTATCACCCAGCTAAAGTCTAGCCAGCTGAAACCCGTTTTGAAAAACCGAGGTCCAAAAACGAAGTGTTCCCAAATGTAAAAACCAGGTTTGAAAAATATTGTATATGGTATAAAATAGTGAAAACAAGACTTGTTTGGTAAAAACCAAGTCTCCAAGGTCGTACAATACGTGCGTACGGTTTTGACCGTTTTTCACGTGTTAGACCGATTGACCAAGATACAAAAGTGGTTTTTGTAAAATAATTATTTGGGAACATTTTAAAAATGCTCAGAGGTAAAAACAGGGTTTAAAATATTGAAAACCACGGAGTTGGTTCGGGCGCCAAAAACCGAACGCCGAAAGCCGAACGCCGACTTAGGTGGTTTCGGTTCTGAGCAAGGACCAGGGATTTTAACAATAGAAGAAATCATCAAAAATGTTTGTTTTGATGCACAAAAAATATTTTGTGATTTGTAAAAATTGTTTTGACTTTTTGAGAACCGAGACTTGAATTTATTGTCGGTTTTGATCACAAAAGACCGACTCGACTAAGTCTTCAATTCTTGATCTTGTCCTTGAGTCTTTT